TGTAACAGAAAGTCAACAACCCAGAGGTAAATACCAGAATAAAGAGCAAAAAGACAAGAAAGTGGTTGTTCCTGATGAAAGGTGGGAGGGAGGCCTAGGGACTGCTTCGTTGTTGACACAAACTTTTTAGGATTTCTTGACCTTTAAAACTATGTGCACATACCACTTTGACAGTCTTTGTTTTTACTTTTTAAAGAAGTAAGGGCATAAATTAAAGAGATTGCAAACCTGCTATAGGCAATATAGCCCATCCATAGAAATTTCAATTCCACTGGAAGTTATTGGCAAGAGAGAAATACAGCCATGTTTTTCATATATTTGTTTATTCATTTCCTAACTGTCTTTTTCACAAGAATTTAAGCCCCCTAAGATCAGGAATAAGTGATGGACTAGTAAATGTTTGACTCTATGAGAAGTAAAAAAATATTCTTGTATCATTTACCTATTTCTGTGGTGTAAATATTCCCAGTGCCTGATTTCTAGCTATCAACATGATGTCACTAAAAAGAAAATTGGGAAAAGATGCACAAAGTCAGCTTTTGTAAACTGGCTCCAACACACCACGAACAAAAATCTTGCTTACTATTCTATCTCGGAGTTCAACATAGTGCATGACATGGCAGGTGCCCAGTAAATAATTGTTGATCTGTTGAGTGAACACAGGAAAAATAACAGGAGCCAGGGACAAGCAAACAATGAACTACATAATTTGATCTAAGAAAATTGAAAGCAAAAATCATCTCAAAAGCTGAGAATATTGAGAAGGAGCTCAAGTCAGATTATAACTTGGATAATAAATCACCATGAATTAATAAGGTCATTCTGGCCCCAGGGAAGAAAAAGTGGAAAGGAAGGTAGCTGTGAGCCAGACATTTAGATAGTTACTTTACAAGTGTGACTTTGTTTAATCTTTGCAATAATCTTAGAAGATGTAGATCACTAACCCATTTTACAGATGGGAAAACTGAGACTCAAAAAAGTGTAAGTAATTTGCCCAAGGACACACAGCTAGCAGGAGTGAGAGCTGGGATTCAAACCCATGTTTGTCTAACTCCTTATCATATGCTCTTTCTGCTATACCAGCTGCCTTCAAAAATTTAGGAAAATAATTTAAGGAAAAGGAGGTTTTGTTTATCAGAAATGTGAAGATAATTGTCTCATCCTTCTATCAATCTTTGGTTATGAAGGTATAGCATAGGCACCTGCAAGGTGGGGGTGGAAACGCATCCAAAACAATCTGTTAGATAAGATCTAGATTCAAAACAAGCTGTTTTGTAAGATCTAGATTCTTTGTTCTAGCTCTCTTTATTTTCTTGTCTAAAGCAGAGTAGAGGCTGCCTAGCAACCAAGATAATGGTGTCTCTTTTTTTTTGCCTTAATTATCTTATGCTTTCCACAACCTCAAAGATATTGGATCAAATATTAAGAGAAGAAGATCTGAGTTTTTGTATCAAAATATCTGTTCATATACATGTACAATGCACACACACACACACACACACACACACACACACACACACACACCTTTCGCCTTCCCTCAATTTTGTGATTAAATTAAAAAGACAGTCTGTATCTATGTGGTGCCATACCATTGGCTAAAAAGTATAAAAATTCACCATTTCAGGGCACCTGGGTGGCTCAGTCGGTTAAGCATCTGACTTT